ATTTCCCTTTTAGCTAAAGTCTTGAAAATTCTACACCTAATAGAGTTTTTCAATAGCTTCAATTTGATATATAGCTCAACGTTCAGTGTTGAGTATTTCTGCTCATAACTCAGAAAAACTAAAATGCACTGGCTTCAATTCCCCCCCCCTGAGTTAGCCTTCCAGTTTATTTATAGTTCAATGGTGCAGCCACCTTAAGATAACCCTGTTGGGGGTCTGGTACTGGTTCGGTTTTTGCGCGGGAAAAAATCAAAATGGCGTCCGATTTGGAAGAACTTGGTCAATATTTTGAACAAAAATGTGCTAACGTTTCACAGATTTTAGAGCTTAGAGGCATTGGTAAGTTATGGTCGAATATTTTGCAGTTAGTTTAATGGTTTAGCTTTAAAATAGCGAGTATTAATGCCGAGAACTCGATTGTTTATACAAATTGTATGCGTTTATATTTGACAGGCTATTTATTTGGTTTATTTACGTATTTAAAAAATGTGGTTACTTAGTATTTATCGCCACTACCATACCAAGACATGCTTGCTTCAAGATGCAGGATTTGCCAAGGGTGGGTTGGTGGGTTGATTACAAAATTTTTGTAGTTTGCTATAACTACGGCTACTTCAAAAATTATATAAGTAGTCAGCTACAACTACTGCTACTTCTGAGTATATGTAGTCAACTACTGCTACTTCTGAACAAAAGTAGTTTGCTACTGACTACAGCTACTGCTTAAAAAATGTAGCGAACTATTTCGCTATATTTTTTAGTGTTACTGTATTTGGAGCATCTATTAACACAAGCTGTAATGTAACCTATAACAAATCGACTTACGAGTAGCAACAGTAAACACAAAGCAACATTTTTTTTGTAAGCACTACAGTGTGCAAATTGACTATCGAGGATTGATTTTATAAGCAAACCGTGTCTCAAATCATGCCATTCTATCAAGTTGCTAACAATTTAAAAAAATAGCGATTTGCTATTTGAAAAGTAGTCAACTACTTGGCTACTTTTAGGCAAAATGTAGTTTGCTATAACTACAGCTACTGTTTTGAAAAAGTAGTCAAAAACTACTGGCTACTTGAAAATTGTAGTTCGCTACAGTAGCGAACTACAACTACTTCGCTACTACCCACCCTTGGAATTTGCTTATAATGTCATGTCCAGACGACGACATAGACTCTACATTGACATATAGATAATAGATGGCAAGCATTACTTTTAAACCTCTCCCAAAGAGGAAATTAACTCCTTTCAGGTGTCCTAACACACTTACTATTATCATAAATAATTTTTTCTACCCTCCCCCTCTGGATGGAAGAATTTTCCTAATTTCCTCGGGGGGGGGGGGATGCAGGTTTTTTCTGGAACAACATAATTTCATGTCAAAGAGTTGTTCTATTAAATATATAGTTGTTAAAAAGATAAAATTCACTATTTTTAGAAGATACCGAAGGTGCAACAAAGGCATTACAAGCTATCAATAATGAAGTTGGGGAGGTGGAAGAGATGATGAATGATTTTAAGAAATATTTAATGCAGCAACAAAAGTTGTTAAAAAATGCAGAGGCTTTGAAAGATGTTTTTGATGGTTTTCAACAAAGAAATGAACACATTGCAGCAAACTTACCCCAGCACTTGCCTGGAAGGCAGTCAAGGTAACAATGAATTGAAACAACAATTTAAAATGTTTTTCCCAAGATGCCTTGTTAGCAGTGCTACTGTTAGCAGTGCTACTTAATTAACCAAGAATATAAATCCTAGCTATGTCAGTGCCAGACAATATGCAATAAAGTGTATTATATAATCTGCGAGTGCAATGGAATAAAACGTATAGTACAATTGCACTCTTTGTGTTTTCGATAAATCGCATCCCTCAAAATGCTTCTTATACGAATCTATTAGTCTATTTTGGTATTATATAAAACAAATAATGAATGTTTCTTCGTGCAATGGTAAGAATATTTCCATTCGGTGAAAGATGGAATGTTCCATTCAACTCGGCTGTCGCCTCGTTGAATGGAACATTCCATCTTTCACCTCATGAAAATATTCTTACCATTGCACTCATAAACATTCATTATTTGTATATTTTAAGACACTGCTTCTCCCGTTTTACAATTATGATGTTATAGGGCCACCTCTGTGCAACCTCTAGGTGGCCCTGCTTGTTAGCACTATGTCATTTGAATATCAAGCATAGCAATAGTGCCATTCAGTCACAATCCAGTGATCTGAATGTTCTGTTGTCTTTTCATTGTTTTGAAAATCTCACTGTTCTCCATGCCATCCACCGTAATGTTTAATGTTATGTCAGGATTGTTTTCAAAAGACCTGAGCTTATTTTTTCAATATTTCTATCAAATGTTTCATTGTGTTTCAGTGGCCCTGCCAGGACAGTTCTGAAGGAAAGAGATCAAGCTGTTTCTGCAGAAAGTGAAAAGAAAGCAAAAGTAAAACCTGCTGCAAAAACTGCAAATTATCATAAAATTGATTATCTTACAACAGAACAGTTTGACAGTGTGCCAAAGTAAGTTTGAATTGCCACTTCTTAAATTTTGTCTTATCCTCTGAATTAGCAATCTCTGTCAAAACAGCCCCAATTTAAATACAATCCTTATAACCCATGATACTAAATCTAATCCATTCTAAGCATAATACTAATTATATGCCTAACCTTGATTCTGTGTCTAACCTTAATTATTGCAATCACCGTTACAATTGTGTTTTATAATATATTTTTAGATATCTAAAAGGTCGCCTTACCTATGCACAAGTCAACTCGGCAGTTGATCAAATTCATCAAGTCTTGGCTGCCAAATATAAAATCCTGAGCACAAAAAGACTGGGCATGGGTGAACACATTATGAAAAAATACAGAGTAAGTAAATTTTTTCAGAATGTTCTCTTTCACAGAAATGGTGACTCAATGTATTCACATCATATGTAAAGGAGTCTTTGGATTGTTGTATTTTCAATTTGCATTCTGGTAATTGGTATAAAATAATATTTTTTAGGAATTTAAAGAGCAAGAAATGGCCGAGACCAAAGGTTTGTCAACCCCATCAGTATTGTAATATCTAGAGACATACAGTCTATCGACCAAGATGCATAATCTAAGCAAAGCAGATGGTGGCCAACGTCACAAATGTTTATACTGGGTCAAAAGTCTTGGAACTGTGTGAAAAATCAAAGAAAGTCTTTAAAAGTCTTTACGATTTCCTAACTAATAAAATAGATTGATTGAAGCAAGATTTTTGCAAATATTGACGAAAAGGTGCATTTTAGGATTGGATTTGACGGGACTATATACCGGGTAAACATGGTGCTTATAGTCGCAATTTTATGAAGATCTTTGAAAAGTCTTTGAAAATAGGCAGAAAAAATCTTTAAAAGTCTTTGAAATTATTTGGTCTTGGAGACTATGAACCCTGTTACAGGAGCAAGGAATCCTGTAAGGTCAAAACGTCCCCAACTCAAGTCAAAATGTCCTCGTGTCAAAATATCCCAACTAAAGTCAAATCTGTTGGCTAAATTTGGAAAACTTGTGTTGTAACCCTGTGAACATGTTTATTCTTTTTTATTATATAAAGTATAGTGCTTTATAGAGATTTCGAGCATTGATAAAAGTGATAATCTCACATGTGAGATTATTCATGATAATCTCACATGTGAAAATTATCGCTTTTCAATTATCGCTTTTCTGTAAAAATTATCGCTTTTCAAAGACTGCCCTTTATATAATAAACAGAAAAATACATGGGTGCTTGGAAATACCAGATTTATTTCTCGTGTTGAACATGATATCTCACTCGTTCGCTGCGTTCCCTTGTGAGATATCATGTTCAACACTCGAAATAAATCTGGTATTTCCGCGCACCCATGTATTATCTCTATATAATTTAGTGGCAGTTCAATTTATTTGAACACAAGAGTCAGGGTTTTTTGACCTGGGGACGTTTTGACCTGGGGACGTTTTGACTGCATGGATACCCTTTAGTCACACCTTCATATATTCTTTCAGGCTGTTATTTCTTCGTGGACAAAGACTTGAAGGAATTCTCAAGTTTCAAACTGGATAAAGTTGGACAGTCTATCCTGAATATCCTGAGGCATTGTGGGAAACTCAAGGAGGTACGTGGCGGGAAAATCGTTCGTTTTGTTGTTGTGCCTGCATAATGATCTGCACGGAATGTTGTGTGTGGAGTCGTGTTTTGAAAGATTGCTCTTCCAGTATATCCCCGTAAACGTTGGTCTGGTAAAAGTTCATTTAGTTTTAACGTGTCCACAGAATTGCAACTATTTCACAAGCTGTAACATTAGCATTGGAATATCACTTTTGTAACCTGCGAATGCAGCCAACACGCGCAAACATTGAATTTTCGGAGACATTTACGTTGATCTGGAAAAGTTTGTTTAGTTCATGCCGGCAGAATCCCTTCCATCTGTTAAATATTGACATGTTTCAAAACCGGAAAAACTAAAATGCCATCCAGTCGTAGACTTTGTATATACAGAAACTGCACGCTTATTATACTCAAAAACAATTTCCATGTTTATTTTATCTTACAATTATAACTAGTAACAATTAGAAAATCTGCTAACTATTTGTATCATAGAATTAGAATTATACCGCAGTATTTTACAAAGAGGTTGTTTGGGATCAAATACTGTACATATACTTATTTACATATCAAAATTTATAATAACAATCGCATAAAATAGCTAAGCTAATCTCTTTGCTAATCTTGCCCAATCAATACTTATTGTTCAATAAATATATCCTATACAGTACAATGAACTAGAAATGATTGGAAAACTTAAATGAAAATTATTAAATGTAAATTGTCACAATTACATATATTACATACAGATATAACTTGCCATTTCCCCAGACATTACAACTGTTCGCTTTCCGATTTGTTTCAAGAATCAATGTTCCGCAAGTCTGAGGTGTTTTCTGTTGCTGTTTTCATTAAGAAACTGGTGACTTCGCTCCACCGTTGTTTCTCTGGGCAAGCTAAATAAATATGATTAAAACGAATTAGAACAAATAAATGGAAACCCGTGAATAAATTCGTGGAACCCCGTTATTGGAGATTTTATCTCTGTGTGGTCATTCCAGCCATTGTGTGTAATTTATAGTTAGTTTATATCTTTAATAATGGCAAATTTGTAAAATGAAACAAAGGAAACTAAATCGAAACAAACCTTCTCGGCCTTTTCTGCTTCTCGTCGTTTGTACTCGACTTTAGCAATCTCGTCTTCCACCCATTCAGGAATATCAGGAATGGCGTACGATACTGCGAACTTCACGGCGAGCACCACGTGCTACAAAGTAGAGATGCAGGTTTAATTTTCTTGTCAATAGTCCTGACCACGATCAGTGAAACATACCTCAATGACAATGATAAGCAAGATTCTCTGTGCTGGAGTCATGCCGGGAAACATTCGTGTCAATGATCCTCCGATACCCAGCAGAGCGAGATTGACGATCACTGCAATCACACCCATCAGTTCCATCGCATCCTGAACACGAGAATTTCAGTAAATAGTAATTTAAGAAATAGAACAAAAGTAAAAAAAAAACGATGCAGGGCAATTTTTGTCGCATAATGTTGAACCATGCCAGTTTTGTAACCTCCCACTTTGGTAAGTTGTATTTCTGGGGCATTAGATTTATTAAGTTCTTCCAACAATTAATTGACTCCTTCCTTACTCATGGATTTGTCCATTTCATAAGTGAAATTAGGTAGTTATGTACAATTGGAATGTAATCAAGAGATAGGAACGTTACCTGCCATGTTCCGATATTCTCTACACGCACACCAAATGGTCGTTGAAGATTGGTGCAAAGTTTGAATGCATCACTCCGTATCTCGACCACGTTGTTGAGTAAAGCACACAAGCCTGCGAGAGGAAATGCGGCCGAGAACAACACGACGTAACCAAACTGAATAAACATCTCCAAGTAATCTTCAAATGTATCCTGCGAAGTAAAAGTCAACACATTAGTCAACAAAGAAGAATTGAGGAAAGCAGAACATCGGCGTCTAATCATAATCATAACGGCATCTAAAATGCTGGGACACACGAGAGCGCCAGCTGAGAAACGCCGGACAATATACTCCGGGAGGAGTGAAGACCGCTGATGAGCTAGAAGAGAACAGTGTTCACAGACTTGAAGGCCGTGGATCTGATGTGGGAGGATACTAAGATCCTGAATGCTGTCGATTCCTGATCTTCTACAAGGAACGGGAGAAACTAAGATGTAAGATTAAGTCAAGAAATGGTATCGTACCTCGTATACAGGCATTGCAGCCTCAATCTCAGGTTGTTTTGTCTTTGCTGTTTCCAGTTCAGCAGGTTTGTCTGGTTTCGCTGTGCTTGCATTCCCTGCTTTCTTCTCTTCTTCTTTTCTCTTTTTCTCCTCATCCTTCTTCTTCTTAAATTCTTTCACTTTTTGTTTCACAAATGGAACCAGAGCTTCCTTAACATTGCCGATGACTTGCTTCGTAATGAGCAGAGCGCCAAGTTGCTAAATATAGAATAGCGTCAGTGCTTTGGTTAGAATTGATAAGCAATAAAAATGTAACCAAAAGCTGCCTTGTGAAGGGTATATAAAAGTTGCTGTATGTATAGAAACATCAGTCTGTTGGTTAAGTCTGATTTACACTATCAAAGTTTCTGTGATAAGAGTAGGGATTTTGCATACTTACTCCGTGTTTAACAGTGAGTCACTTTGCTCAAATATTTCTTACAAATCCTTCAAAACTTAGTATTTACCTGTGAAAAATTCCTATACTGTGGTCACAGAAACTTTGATAGTGCAAACCAGCTTTTAGAAGTGGTCACTGTTGGCGAATAAAACTTGATATATGAAAACTCGTCATGATGCGAAGAACTCACATAAAGTTGGTAGATGTACAGGAATATTAGAAGATATCTTATACGTCTATGACGAGGCAAACTGTGGACATGAAGGTAAAGTTACTGCATATTTTTATTAAGTTACTGTTTTCATCTCTTCAGTATTGTAACTCACTGTTTTTAGTTTATCGAAGTTCATCAAGGAGAAAGCAATGTAGAATAAGGACAGGTAGGCGTTGAAAAATTGGAACTACAAAAAAAATAATTTTGTAATAAGAATGAGTTACCATGAGTGTTTGTTTTATCAATTTTTATTCACATACTTACAGAAACAAGTTTGATAATCAGATGATTTTCGTACGTTTCATCCAGCCGATAATTCTCTGCAATGAAAAAGAAAATGTAAATCCTTTGGGAAGACTTCATTCAGGTAGGTGAATGTAGAAAATAATTCGTTGATGCGAGCAGTATCTTTTGATTTCTAGACAGAATCCTTGTTGTACAAAGTTTATACAGTTCCAAGCGGCCTTAGTCTGTAATTCTAGGGAGCTAAAGCCCTGGACAAACTAGGAAACATTGTTGTCGAAACATTTGTGATTCTCGATGTTTCCTCAAATGTTTCCCTGTTTGCCCACCCGTGGAACATTGTTGCGGAAACAAAATTTGCTTCCCGAGAAGCAAAAATGTTTCCAGGCGAATTCAGAAACATTTGATGTTCCCTATGTTTCTCACTAATGTTCCCTAGTGTTTGCCCAGGGCTTAACATTTTTGCATGAAGTGTTCCCGCGACAATGTATGTGTGACGTCCATGTTGTCAACGCCGCTTAAGCTCTTTCATATTTCCAAGTTTGTCCAATCCTTGACGCCTGTATGTAATATTTTACCTTTATCATTTAGCTTGTAAGCAACAGTCTTATAAATATCATCCATCTTTCCAATAGAAACAGCGAGTGCAATCTTTGGTGCGAACTTGAGCCATTTGGGAGGGTTATCCATACCATCTACCCAACGTTGGAACTCGAATACCAAGATCATGACGAGAAATACCACGACAAGCGAGGTGAGGATCGCGGGAAGGGTGACACAGTATCTAAATAAATTCCGTTTCCACGAGGGGTAAGTTGGTTCCATTTTACCAGTAATGTGACTTGGTTTCCATTCACCCTGAATGAGAAATATTTTAATCATGCTGGATTTGTACTCGTGACAGATGATCCGTCTCTTATTCATCTAGGGCCGGTTGCTCAAAGCACGATTAGCGTTAACTCTGGGTTGAAATTTAACCTCGTGTTTGAGTTTGTGTGTTTCTACACGTCTGTTCATTTCAAAACGTCAGAAAAATAAGACTTGTGTTGGTCATGAGAAAATTTCGGGGAAAATATTTCCAAGTTTATGAAGAAGCTAGCTGTAGGGAGGATTGCTTTGATGAGTTTCTTAATTAACCTAGGGTTAAGCTAACCAGCTTTTAAACAACCCGCCCCTGATATTTGTCTGTGAAGAAATGCGGCCGTTAAAATCTCAGAGTCATCATGCATGACTACCTCGAAAAGAACCCTCGGATCTTTGAGTGCCTCAGATGGCATATCCAGTGTCCCCCATCGGTACGCCAGCTCAGCCGACTTTCGTTTCCACGCCTCGAGATACAATGTCGCCCAGACGATATTAAAAATACTGAATATAAACATACACCAATCACGGATGACCTCACCACGGCTCATGAGAACAAACATAATGATACCAAATATTGCAGGAGCAAACAGCCATTTTGTGTAGAGTCCAAGCCAGCCAAAATACATCGCTATTTTCACACCGAAGTAATCACGGATATCATCTAGATGAAAAGGGGTTTCGTGAGACAGTGGTTAGTTCAAGTGTTTTTCACTTCCGTGTCCAGGATTCGATTATACAGTAACTACTTGTCTGGGGACGGTTGTATAAAAAAGATAGTGGTTAAAAAGTACTTCAGAGCTTTATACAACTGGCCGCAGGTTTTAAATTCACTTCAATCGTATGCGAGAGGAGTGCTTTCAGATTGACTCTACCCAACACCACAGGTTTTCCCCAGATACAGTACCCCGGTTTCCTCCAGCAGTACAAGTGAACCACTGTAAATAACACTGGACCCATGGCAGGAAAAAATAATTTTCTTCCTAGGAGCACAAACTGGAGACAAAAAATTCCTGTGCTAAATCTGCATGTGCATAAACATATAACTGACCATGGTTTTAAATTCAGGGAATAATGTCTGTCAACCATATGTTGTTGCGCCCATATTTCAACCATATGTTGTCAACCATATGTTGTTGCGCCCAAATTTTCAATAGCAAATCTTCATTGAAACGAATTACCTGTAGCTGTTTAACATTCCCTGCGAGTTCGCCTATTTTTTCCACCCCTGACTGGACCTCTATTTAAAGGCTGCGTTTTTCGTGGACAATTTCGCGCGCGTACACGTTCGTATTCGCATAACAGGAAATAAGGAATAATGTTAATTTTGATTCGCATTCACGTATTTACTATTGTCTTACCTAGAGGCTGTTTTTTAAAGAATGCCTTGACCCAAGTCTTCCGAAGTTTGGCTAAATCATCATGATCATGGAGAGGAAATATCTGCTGAATTACTTCTTCAACCAACAGTTTGGGAACTATGATGAAAGTACACGATAATGTAATATATTGCAGTAGGCATGTCTTCCAGATGATCTTGATACGCGGAAAAGTACTGGCACTAGTTGTCAAATAGAAATCCATTTTATGATTAAAACAACTGAATATCTCCTGTAATATACTTTATTTCGATTCCATATTTTTGTCAGAGCTATAGTTCTCATAACCAAACATAATAACAAAATTTCAACTAGTTTCATAAAGAATAACGAAAGATATAATTGACTGAATACATGAAAATGGATTTCTATTCGGACAACCCTTTCTGAGCGCTGATTGGCTAAAATACGAACACGAGATCACCTGGTTGCTAAGCACTATTGTGCAGCAGATGCTGGTCAATCTGCAGTTGTGAAAGCGAAATAAATAGAATTGATTAGAGTTGTATTTGTCAAGCGAGGATGAGAGTTGCCAGTCAGGCATTGTTGTAGGGGTCTAGATTGACAAAATAAAGGTTTGATAAGTGTTAAATGCATGATATTGTTGAGAAAGTATTAAGAACTGTTAACGAAGGTCGCGTGACTCTCATCCTTGTTTGACCGGGGTTAAGTATCAATATTTTCGAGGTTGACCACCATCCTGGGCCGATCCTAGACACGATAATTATATTCAGATATTCATGTTCACATACCGTAAAAACAACGCTTTCAAAAGAAATCCGTCGGGCAGAACACGAATATATGAACATACACCCTCCCCCCTGCCACCATCGCTTGCTAAGCTACGTTAAGAATGAAAGTATATACCTATGGTCTGTCCGGGGACAAACTTAATCCCAGCCAACTCATCTCCTTCCACTGCTCTCATATTATTGACTAATTCCATTACAATACTCTGTCTATCTCCTGAAGTGAAAAACAACTCTGGATCTTCAATATTCAGAAACTCATCCTGGTTTTCCACAGAAAATTCCGCCATTCCCCCATCTTTCAATTTCTTTCTCAAACCCATTTCCTCCGCTTTCTCCATGAATACTTTGATTGATGACGTAAGAAAGAACCCGTATGCAGGCTTATCCGCCATTTGTCGCACGTGGATTTCTACTTCCGGTATTCTTGATCGCAGGCGCGATAATAACCACATGACCACATAGTCTTCAGTTTTTGGCGGGAAAATGATGACGACATCACTTGTCCTTGTGACTGTCGATTTCTGCCATATTTTGTTGGCGATCACAAAACGACCTGCACTTTGCATCGATTTCTCTGAAAATAACAAGTTTTATTTTAAATTTCGCGAATTCGTTCGCGCGAAGCAAAAAACAAATCTTGGCAATATGCAATCCAGTGATCAGAATTTTCTATTGTCTTTTCATTGTTCTGAAAATCCCACTGTTCTCCATGTCATCCAGTAACCCATTCTTTTGACTTATTTCTGACGTTATGCAAATGGCCTATTACACGAAACTGGACGACATTTGTACGGAAATTCATCTGGTTTCATCTGTTCACACTGGATTTATACGGTTAGCTGTGCATGAAATCTTGTAGAGTTTAGAATGAGATGAGACAATAGCACAGACTATTCTGAATTAATAAGAAAATATTTCATTCAGAAGAACGTGGAGAAATCTTACTTTTTGTAGCATCGGCTGGTTCCTCTTTCACAACCTTCACCCGCTCTAGAAAAACACAAACATTTCATTTTGTGAACACTCCAGTTGTCCGACGGCTCGAAACTAACCACGGAAATGGGTTTGTATTATTCGTTGATTAACATCCATTATATTTAAGTCGTTTTAAGCAGCGCAGAAATTATTTCATTCTGAGTTAGTTTTAGAAAGCATTTAGTCCAGGTGTCATAGTATTTTCTTGTTTTAAAAAACAATGTATGATAAAAACATTAGATAGTGTGATATTTCGTTTTCCAGATAGATAAGTAATCAATATAAACTTAACATGAAAATATTGTTTGTTAACCAATATTTATACATACTAACGAACTAGTAACCAAACTTAATTTCTCTCTTATAAACAGATCTTGTTTCACACAAGGTAAAAGACAGTTACAAAAGTTCATTCTATTGTAAGAGAATTGAAATACTTTTGCAATTTTTTTATTGCTTGAATTATCCGCCCAAACCTGCAAGTATAGCTTTGACAACCTGTATGAACGTCTATTCTATAACACAAAACTTTGATTAAGTTCCAAATAAACTTACCTCGCACCGACTTCATCCCTTCGGGAATCGGCATTTTTGAAAACAAAGTAGAAAACTTTTATATGCGCTGCAAAATATAACTAAATTTTTCTTGGCCAACGTTTGATTAGCTCAAATGCTGTTGTGAACTCCAAGGGACGCGTTTTAAAGAGAAATGATTGGATATTTTTGTTTTCGAAATGAATAAACAATATACTGTTTTTTAACAGGTAGCGTTATTCACTTTCGCATAAATTACGCTAGAATAAGGCTTAGTAACCCGTTTGCAGGTCAGCCCGGCCGTGTTCTGTGGGAAACTAAGTCGAGAAATATAACTTGGTCTCGCAGAGGCTCCTTAAGTATATGCACGTTTTCGCGGGCAAAATGGCTGAATCAAGGCAAGGAAGAAATCCATTGTTCAAAAACAACAAAATTTCAATATTCCCTTTGGATTCAAGAGATTTTAACACTGGTAGATGTCGTATGGATGTGTGTTTAATGAAATTAGTTGGGGTAAAACTGAATTCGACGGTTTGTATTGCGGTCAAAGACTGGAAATTTTACTGCACCGTTTGGCCAAATTTATGTCGAAGTTTCGTCGCACAGAATTTAAATTTTGACACTTCTGTTGTGTTGAGTACTGATAATTTTCCTGACGTTGGCAGCTTACCTGGGTGTTGCTTGGATTTATTAAGTGATATTACTCCTGTTGAAACTTGTATTGCAAAACTTGTTGAAGTTGTAGTTTATTTGAGAGTTGAAAATGTGCAAGAAATGTCGCCTCGTCTTGTGTATGATAAAGTAAGGCGTGCTTCACAAGTCAGCTGTATTCTACAAGATAAGGTGTTCACAAAACACTGCTGGGTTTGTGTAAAGAAAATGTTTAACTGTGGTCTGGAATTTACGCAAGAAGTTGATAGAATATTTCTAAATAATGTTGAATATTACAATGGCAATAAGGTTGGTTTAATGAATAATTAGTGGTAATTAATTAGTAATTAAGATTAAATAGAATTCAATAACTGGCAATTCAGGATAAATAAATAATTAGTAATTAAGAGATTAGGAACAAGTAGTTGATAATTTTAGTCATTAAGAATATTAGAAAATGATGCATGACCATGATGCTGATTTTACATAACTTCAAGTTCATTTTTCTCACATTTATGACTTTAAGATCACTGAGGAAATTTTAGATATTTTCAAGTGGTTTCTTGCGTAGAATACCACCTACCATGGACCCTTGTAGACTGAAATCCAATGTTTGGCATGTCTTATTGCGTCTTACAATTCCAGTCTCTTACCATTCAAATTTAAAAAGTTCTGATGTTCTCTTATCATAGCATGCATGTTCTACAGTATTGGTTCTGTTTATATTGTCTGAATGTTTGGTAGAATGACAAGCTGTTAACCTAAGATGGTCAATGGGTTAATCAGGGCCGTAGCGAGAGGGGCGGGGGGTATTTGGGGGTGGTTAACCCCCCCCCCCAACTTTTTTGAATTAATATATTCGGAAAATTGAGTTGGCCATTCGGAAAATTACGAGAATAATAGTATTACAAAATTTTAGTTGTTACACAGAGAAAATATTATAGAATTGTATTGTGAGATTAATTTGTAATTTCAACATTCTAAATGCTGTTTTCTGACCATCAGAATTCTGTCAAATCTTCCCCAAAGTCCAGGAAATGGCATTTCAGAGACTCTAAATTTAAAAATTTCCTTGGGCCTTTGGCCCTCGTTTCCAACCCCCTCCCCCAATAAAAAAGAGCTTCTTACGGCACTGACTTTGTGGCATCGTATGCCATGAAAGATTCGGAATTTTTTTTGTCCTTCGGAAATTTTTGCCTGACACTTCCAACTATACATGCTAGCTACGGCCCTGGGGTTAAAAATGAATTTTGGCAAATTTCTTTTAGATTTATCCTGTATCTCAGAACATCGCAACATTGATATCTGCAGACACAAAAATTATAATTAAAAGTATTAAAAGATACGAAGCAAATTTGAATAAGAAGAAAGACATTTGTTTAGCTGCATATGGAAACATTGTGTCTGAAATACAAGATGTTGTGTCTGCCTTCAACATGCCAGAGAAATTTCATATTGAATGCCCGAAAGGTTTCCTCCTGTTGGGACCACCTGGTGTTGGTAAGTCATCGTTAGTGGTACATCTTGCCGAGTGTTGGGATGCTGAATTGTTTGTCTTAAATGGTGCTGATGTCTTTGGAGCTCATATGGGAGAGAGTGAGAAAAATTTGAGGAAAATATTTGAAACTGCCAGGTTGGTGGAGTGTTTGTCTTTTCATTGTTTTGAAAATCCCACTGCTCTCCATGTACACTGAGCTCTATATATAATATCTGGAGTGAAAACTTCAATCATATATTTGGCCTATGAGAAAAGTAAAGCCAAAGTGACAGAATTTGACATCAAATAGCTATGAAGGTTGTAAACAGTTTTAATACCATTTTCCCCAGTTAATTTTCTAAGAGACTGTTTTGCTAATCAAGTTCCGGTTCATAAAACCTTAGTATTATTGTTGCTTGTGATGTTAGTCTGAGTATATATCCACACCGGGCAAGCTTGAAAAATATGCCTGACCACGGTGGGAATCGAACCTACGACCTTTGGAATACTAGCCCACTTGTAATGTTACTCAGAGTAACATCACAAGCATCATATTCACCTGCTGAGTACATTACATCAACACAGAAAAAAATCATGATTATTAGATTACATTGATATCGAAGGAACTAGATTCTGTTCCGAAATATCACATACTCGAACTGACCAGACCGCGTAGCTCAGTTGGCAGAGCATTGGGCTAGTATTCCAAAGGTCGTAGGTTCGATTCCCACCGTGGTCAGGCATATTTTTCAAGCTTGCCCGGTGTGGATATATACTCAGAGTAACATTACAAGCATCATATTCACCTGAGTACATTACACCAACACAGAAAAAAATCATGCTTAGTATTATTCTTTAAATAATACGAAGTGAAAACACAAAATTTTGGCACACTCCTTGCAGACTGCGTGCAGACAAAAGGACTAAAACTGAAGTCTAACATTTCCATCCTTGGCTTCACTTTTTGGAACTTGAGTGATGTGTTCACTTTTTGGAACTTGACTCATTGTTTATGTCAGGCACTCATTGTTTTGACATTCATATATGTGGGAAGGATGTATTTATACTCATTCAGTTTCAAATTTTTCATGTTTAGAGAAACATCAAAGCATATCGCATGTGTCTTGTTTATTGACGAGGTTGATGCATTGTGTCCCAAACGATCTGAGGGTAGCGATGTTGAAAATAGAGTGGCATCACAATTATTAACATTGATTGATGAGATAATGAGTCAGTCTAGTGTTATATTGATCGCTGCAACCAACAGACCCAACTCGCTTGATCCTGCTGTCAGACGACCTGGCAGGTTTGACAAGGAGGTTTGTGGAATGTTAATTAAGAGTCAAAGCTCTACAATATAGTAGTACCACGCAATACGTAGAATACTCTAGACTGCATATTAATTAAACAAAATTTGGAGTATTTTTAATGTAGTGTTTTTAAAGTAGCAAGGAACAAGAGTTACGATCAGGGTTACTGTTAGGGTAACTGTCAAAGTCGGGGTTAGAGTTGTGATAAGGGCTGAGTTAGTATTATAGCCTACAGTAGTAAAGTTTCAGAATATCAAATGTAATAATTGGTATTTTTTGTTAGTTTGTGATAGGTGTGCCATCTTATGAACAAAGATTAGAAGTTTTAAAGACTTTGACATGCAATCTTCCTCTATCACCAGATGTTGATTTAGAAATACTTGCTAAACAATGTCTAGGCTATGTTGCGGCTGATCTTGCAGCTCTTGTACGACAATCGACCATGAATGCTTTAACGACAACTTTAAATAACAGTGATACAGGTGAACAATAGTGTTGAATAATAAATAGTATCATTATTCATAAATAATTGCATTTATTAGTTGGCCTTGAATTTCATGTTCATTTACTGTGTTTCTTGCTGGAGTTGATAAGATCAATAAGTCCCTCCCCCTCTTAATGCTCCTCCCCCTCTTAAATAGTGCCCCTCCCTCTCTTAAATAGTGCCCCTCCCCCTCTTAAATAATGCTCCTCCCCCTCTTAAATAATGCTTCTCCCCCTCAATACCTCCAAGGGTATTGATAGACTGAGGGTTTATAGTTTTTTTAATCTCTCTTTCATGTTGAAATAGAAAGAAATATTGGTATAACAATGTCCGATCTTCAAAAATCATTTAACGCAATTATTCCATCAACTTACCGAGGAGTGGATGGCATTGTTGAGTGTACACCAGTGAAATGGCAAGATATTGCTGGTTATGATAATGTCAAACAAGTTCTTAGACAGGTACAGTCCGTGTATAGAGTTGTTTAAGAAGTATTTTTAGATCAGTGAGTCAGACCTGAAACAGGCAGAAACAGTCATGTTTGCCCATTATGAAAATCATTTGGAATTAGCCAGGCCAAAATGATACTGAGTAGCAAGTATTTGAGTGTTAATGGGTTAAACCTGTAATAATGCTAGCCCATCTCTTATGATTGTCAATGATTTACTGAATACCATTTAAAGTTGTGTAAATTTTTTTAGGCTGTAGAATGGCCATTCCTCTACCCTGAATCATTCTCACGGCTTGGGTTATCCCTACCACGAGGGATATTACTGTATGGACCTCCAGGGTGTTGCAAGACCACACTAGTGCGTGCTGCTGCAACATCCTGCCATTGTACCTTCCTATCCCTCAGCTGTGCTCAATTGTACTCACCTTATGTTGGGGACGCTGAACGAATGATCAGAGAGGTTAGTTTGTGGTATTTACCGGCACAATTCTTTTATATTTCAGCATGTTCCTTAGCCAGAGTGTATTTTTGTTTCAGGTATTTACAAAAGCTCGTGCTGCAGCACCATCTATCTTATTTCTTGACGAAGTTGATGCTGTTGTGAGAAAGAGAAGTACGGATGGAAGCAGTGGAGTTGAAGCTAGAATATTATCAACTTTATTGAATGAAATTGATGGTGTGGGAATATCCAGTAATGTTTATGAAACAACAAATAGGTTAGTATTGACCATTGTCATACGTATCATATCAACCTTGGTATTAACACAACACCATCAATGATCTGTTTGCAGTGGCGCCGCCAGCACGATAATTGGGGGGGGGGGTGAATATTCATATATTTGTGTTTACAGACCATAAAAACGATGGATTTCAAAAGAACTTAATAATGCAGAACACGAAGATATGAATATT